GTCCTTGGTCACCCTTCAGCTCTAGAACTGATCTCATCTGCACGGCTCAATTTTCAGCCAGGCAATAGATAGGTCTATAGGGGGAATAATAACACAAGTGAGGTTCGCATACCACAGAATGGTCAGCCATTTGAGATCAAAAGGACAGAGTTCAGAATCCCAAAACAAACTTCAGAAGGGTTGGGGAAGAAGGAAGAATAGAAACAGAAAATACAGGGAAGAAGTGGAATGTTGTGGTTGTTAAGTACCCTCGAGTTGGTGCCGACTCATAGCAACCTTGTATAAGGTTTCCAAATAAACAGAAAACACAGAGACAACGTGGGACAGGTGATGTTATATCGAGGGGAATGCAATCAACAAGATGTATATGATTTGTTGAAAGTAAAACTAATTATCTGTAAACCTTTACCCAATTCAGAATAAAAAGTTAAAAAAATAAAACAACAACAACTCATGAGCAGCCATCAAAGGTGCAACTACTGGTTACTGGTCTCATCTAATCTGGAGAAGAGAAGAGCAATAAAAATTAAAGATGGGAAACTGAAGATGGATGGAAACAATCCAATGGCCCACACAAATATCAGTCTCCAGGACGCTAAGACCCGAACTAGATGGTACCCGGCTACCACCACCAAGAGCTCTGAATGGGATCACTTTCAAAGGTCTTGGACAGAGTAGAAAAATATGAAACAAAATTCGAAATCACAAAGCAGAACAGGCTTACTGATCAGATAGAGAACCCCAAGTCTATGGCCTTTGGTCACCTTCAAGTTTAGAACTGAACTCATCCCAAAGTTCAACCATTTGAGATCAAAACGGGCAGTATTTACCCCCAGGACAAAGTTTGGAAGGGTTGAAAAAGAAGGAAAAGCAGAAGCAGGGAGAAGTGAGATAAATGATGTTATACTGAAGGGATTGTAATCAATGAGATGAAACAAGATGTATATCAATTGTTGAATGCAAAACTGATGATATGTGCTGTAAATTTCACCCAATTCACAATAAAAAAGTTAAAAAAAAAAAGGTGAGGTGACTTCCAGCAGGAAAGGAGACAGAAGTCAAAAAAGTATTATGAAAGAAATGTCATCTAAGTGCATTTGAGGTAGACCTTTAAGGATCCATGGGAGAGGAAAGAGAAGGACTACTACAAAAATTTGGATAGGAAAAGCATTCTTTGGGCAGTAATGACAGGAACATAAAAGAGGTAGCCCTGAGGTGGCAAGAAAACAGCTAAAAGCAATCAGTAAATTGCGGTGCAAAAAAGGGCCTCTAGTCAAACAAACAAACATCATTTATGATGCCTCTGCTGACACTGGGTACAGAAAAGTAAGATCATTTCTATAAATTATATTTTAGATACCAAAATCTGTAAACTCTCTATTTTTTAGGAATAGATGCTTCTTTTCTAAGAAACAAGACACTAAACACTGTTTTTACCACCAGCTGCTCCTCAGAAACCCTATAAGGTTTGGGTCGGAACCGACTCAACATCACTCAATAACAACTATGTGAGGAGTCCTGACGTGGTGCTGTAGAATAAGCACTGGACTGCTAATCTAAAGATCCACAGTTCAAACCCACCAGCCATTCCTCAGAAATCTTATTAAGGGTCATCATGGGTTGGAACCAACTTGACAGCGCTTAATACCAAAACTATTTTAATAACCCATAGAGCTCTGAGTCTATATTTGTTGTCATTATTGCTAAACGCAGCCGAGTCTGTTCCAATTCACAGCAACCCTGCAAGGGTTTCCAAGGAGTGACTGGTGGGTTTAAACAGCCAACTTTGCAGTTCGCAGTACAGTGCTTATTCTAAACCACCACACCAGGTCTCTGAGTCTGTATTTATAAACCCTTAAATGATTGTAATATTTGTAAATACTACTATGAAATAAAAAAGTATACCACTTAACATTATGATTTTAAGTGGGAGACTTCTGAGAATGAATGGTGTCTCAGTTATTTTAAGTTTCAGGTCTAAGAAACAATTTCAAGCAACTTTAAAAAAAATCAAGAGACTGACCTACATAAGAAAAGAGAATTAACAAAATATCAAAGTAAAAACTCTAAAAGCAAAAACTAGTGAATTCGGTATGGGTTTCATCTCAACGTAAACAAAACAAAAACCCTCACCACTGGACCAATAAACAACATTCTTATCAACGTTGAAAAGACTGAAGTTGTTAAAGACTTCATTTTTCTTGGATCAACCACAACACTCATGGAAAAAGCAGTAAAAAAAATCAAACGACATATCTCATTAAGCAAATCTGCTCCACAAGACCTTTTTTAAAGTGTTGAAGAGCAAAGATGTCAACTTGAGGACTAAGGTGCGCCTGACCCAAGCCATGGTATTTTCAATAACCTCATATGCAAATTAAAGTTGGACAGTGAATAAAGAAGACAGTAGAAGAATTGATGCACTTGAGTTATGGTGTTGGAGGAGAATATTGAAAGTACTATGGATTGCCAAAAGAACAAACAGATCTGTGTTGGAAAGAGCGCTCCTTGGAGGCCAGGATGGTCAGACTTAGTCTCTCATACTTCGGACATATTGTCAGGAGACATCAGTCACTGGAGAGGGATATCATGTTTGGTAAGGTGTAGAGTAAGAGAAAAAGAGGAAGACGCCCAGTGAGATGGATTAGCAAAGTGGCAACATCAATGGGCTCAAATGTGGCAGCAATTGTGAGGTTAGCCCAGGACCGGGAAGTGTTTCATTCTGTTGTGCATACGATCACTATGAGTTGGTACCCACTCAATGGCACCTAACAACAACATATTTGAATAATAATATTCTCTGGTCAATCATCCCTGTCAAACTATTTTAAGAACTGAAATATTGCTCTATTAAAAAGCAAGTTCCCATCAACTAACTACACTTAAGCAATTCTATCACAATAGTTACTAAAGCCTTACACACCAAGCTTCAGATGTTTGCTTACTATCAGTACAATACATTTACCTATGTTACCTAAGTACAGTTAAGTCTGTGTGTTAATTCCAAACATGACACTAGGCGATCTAGGTCTTCAATTCTAACAAATTCACAGTGTAAACTTAGCAAAAGCCTTGTTCTTCATTTGCAACTTCAACTCTAACATGGAGCTACAATAACACCTCCACCACCTCCAAAGTCTCTTCAAAAGAGTTGTGACTTTGGTTAATCTGAGCAGGGTAAATTTAAATTTTTGGCTGAAAACTCAATAAAAATAAAACTTAAAAAAATCTAAAACACAGCACTACATGTCAGCCAATAATGAATTATGCAAACATATTTCATTAACAACTACTAAAACATTGCAATTACAATTTTACAAAGATGACTAAGCAAAATAGTTCACCAAAATTTAAATCTGTCTTAGCAAATGGGGAAAATAAACATTCAGGTCCCGTTATTTTTATCTAGATGGTCTCTGCATCAATGTTTCTATTCTCCCACGGGCTTGATGAGCAGAGTTCAACATCCATGATCCCTCATCACATCAGGTGCCAGTAAATGTCACAAATCACAACAATGAAAATAATATTTTTAAGGCCACAAATGATACCAGACTGCGGCAGCTTAATAAGCAAATGGTAGCACACAATTCTCTCCGGACCCTTTGGTATCATTGCCTCAGAAAGGGCTAGAGAACCTCAACCTCATATTGCCACATTTCAGAATTCATGTATCAGGTTTAAAGAGCTCACGGGTCCTATCTGAAACCAAATGGTCAACAATTACTCTAAAATAAGATGAGAGGGCAAGGGGACAGGGAATTTTCATTACTGGAAATGTACATCCAGAAAGAAATGAATAAGAATGATGACACATTGGAAAAATGTAACCAATGTCACTGAACAATCTGTGTGCTAATTGTTAAATGAAAATCTAACTTGCTGGGTAACCGTTCACCAAAAACACACACACACAAATAAATGTTTTTAAATCATGGGTTCTATGAATGGTCCGGGAGAAAGATGTGGCTTTCTGCTCCCGTTAAGATTTACAGCCTCGGAAACCCAGTACAGGGTCGCTATAAGTCGAAACCGACTCCACAGCACATAACAACAATGAATGGTCACTATTTAATAAACGAACCTCATTACACAGGGTCATAAACTCACTCTATTGCAACACGAGGTGCTGTAAGGCTGTCTCCACTTAGGATGTTTAAAAATACTAGAAAAACACCATAACTATTTTAAATATATTATGCAGTTAGTCAGACTCTGGAATCCTCAACAGCTCAGAAAATGGAAAGTCGAATTTGATTAGCTCCACTGTACCCAACCAGGCTAATGTGAAGATCATACACACATCTTTCTCAGAGCGCCTCCGCCAACACTAAAGAACAACAAAGGCAAGTTGAAGAAGCTGTACAAGGCTTCATTCAACACTTCCCCAGTTTCGGGAAGAAGCTCTCGGAAGGCCCCGAGGACGAAGGGGACCCTCCACATCCCGCCCGAGTGCTGCTCCGCACAGCGCCTCTCGCTCAGCTTTTGTCTGGCCCGGCTGGGAGCCACCGCCGCCCGCCTCCTCAACACCCCTTCCCTCTGGATCTTTCTCCACACCCGTCACTCGCCGAAGACTAGTTGGGGGTTTTTCCCCCTCGCTCCCTCTCCTCGTAGTCCCCAGCTTATTTCAAACACGACTCGGGATCCGCCGGCTTCTCCCAACCGGCAGAGAAGAGTAGGGGCTGGGGTGGGGTCTGGGAGCAGGAGAAGGGCACACAAAGCCAGCTGACCCCACAGCCGCCACCCACCCCCACCCCTGCAAGGCAGCCTGGGATCAGCGACCTACTGGTTGGATAAACAACCTTCCATCTAGATCCTCGCCCTAGTTCCCACCTAAGAGCCACCCCCTCCCCCCAAAGTGCACCCAGGAGCCGATGACAGCGCTGGACATCTCCCTACCCAGACCCGGGGCCTAAACTGCAGGGGAGGGGGCAGGGACCTCAAGAGGCTCAGTCCTAAATCCCAGCGCCCTAACCGGATACTTACAGCCGTACGATCACTACTGTTGCCGCTGCGCACAAGGCAGCCGCCGCCTTCTCCTCCACCCCAATGAGGTTAAGCGCTCGGTGCGGGGGGTTAAAAAAAAAAAAAAAAAAAGAGGCCGAGAGCGCCTGCGCACTACGATCTCCCTTTTTCCCCTTACCGCCACCGACCCGGTTTGACCATAGAGAGTGTAAACCGAGACCAGAGAGGTGACTGTCTCTCTATAGTAAAGTCCCGCGCAGGCGCCAGCCTGGCTGCGTTGAGCTTTGGGAGCTGAAAACCCCAAACGTTTTTTACCTCTACGGGGAACGCTAATTGGCCCTGATAGGGACCCTTACAAGAAAAAATTTAAGGAAGGCGTGGCCAAGTGTAGCTGGCCCCTTGGGGATCTGCGGCAAAACTCTGATTATATGTGGAGGAGCGATCTCAATAGTTACAGCAATAGAAAAGCTGGGAGTATGGTAAGAAAAGCTAGGAAGAATTACGAAAGCCTGACTAAAAGTCTTCCGGCCGGGACTTCCTTTAGCCGAAGTCTAATACCTGAAGGAAACGGCCTTTTACTTCTGGGTTATTGACAACCCGCTCTCCACCTGGCGGTTTGATAAAGGAAATTTTGCCCTGCGTCTTCCCGTAGTAGGGCTGTGCCTCCGCTCTTCCCTATCGAGCTGGCGCGAATGGTTTTTCCGGAAGCACAATTTTTTTAACGATTTCTTTGCCCTTTTAGGGTGGGAGCCGCCCTGAGAAAGCTTCAGAAACCCTTGAGACTTCCAAACAAAGTCCCCTTTCTTACTTGCGCATCTCCAAGAATAATGCAGCAGCAGTGGAGTCCCGGTGTGGCCCTGTAGGATAATGCGCTAGATCACAAGGTCGGTTTGAACCACAAGGTCGGTGGTTCAAACTCACCAGTCGCTCCTCAGAAACCCTGTTCAGGGTCGGAATCGACTCAACGGCACCTAATAAAACAGTTTTCCCCTTACACGTTATTCTAGGATAATACTAGGGGACTTCAATGAAATTCCTGGAAAAATTCCATTATCTTTTCCTTACATTTTAACCCCGAACTTTTTTAAACCCTGTGGTGTGTAGTTTAAGCGCTGGATCGCAAGATCGGGGGTTCAAACCCACCAACCTCTCCTTGAAAATCCTATTCAGGGTCGCTGTGAGTGGGAGCCACCTCGTTGGCACTTAACAACAACAAAGTATATAAGGTAGTTTTTTGGGTTTTTCAGATTACAGGGAAACCTGAACGATCCACGTTTTTGCTGTCAAAGTGTCTGGCTTGGGGCATTTTGAGGTTAAAAGTTTTTGATAAGAGCTTATGTTACTGCCTGTTAGAAATTAAAGTTCAGGAAAATGAAGCAAAGGTTACTCTCAACAGTTATATGCATATAAGGAAACCATTCTGACTTCAAAGCAAATGGCTCAAAGTAAGCCAGTTACAGTAAAAAGAAGAGGGATAATAGAAGATCAATCTTAGCGAGATTGAGCCCTGCCTTCTTCTTCCCTTTCTGAGATCAACTAATACTGGTAGTTCCGGACTTTCACCAGGTAGCTTTCTTAGTACTTATAAATTAGTTCTGATTGTAAATCTAAAAACAACTTCATTATTATTGCCTTTAATTATCGATACTTTTATACATCTGATCTTTGAGCATCTTCGAATTCAACATTGTATGTATACAGGGTTTGAATCTCTTACCTTGCGTTTTGCAGTTCAGTGCTTATCCTACAGAGCTACATGAGGGATCTGATACATGGTACAAGTATACTATCAAACACAACAAAACACACAAACAAGCAAAAGATAAATTAGATGACTGTTGTTACATGCCATAGCTCGGGTCTGATTCATAGCCACCCCTATGCATAACAGAACATAACACTGCCCGGGTCCTGCACCATCCTCACAACTGTTATGCTTGAACTCATTGCATCTGAAACTATGCCAATCCATCTCATTGGGGTTCTTTCTCTTTTTTACTGGCCTGTACTTTACCAAGTATGATAACCTTCTCCGGAGACTGGTCTTCCTAGTAACATGTACAAAGTATAAAAGATGATGCTCACCTTCCTGACTTCTATGGAGCATTCAGGTTGTACTTCTTCCAACACAGATTTGTTTATTCTTCTGACAGTTCATGGTACTTTTTCAATATTCTTCAACAACATAACTCAAATACATCAATTCTTCTATGTTCTTCCTTATTTCATTGTTCAATTTTCCCATGCATATGAAGTGATTAAAAATACCATGACTTGATTCAGACACACCTTAGTCCGCAAACTGATATCTTTCCTATTTTAACACTTTAAATTGGTCTTCTCTAGCAGATTTGTCTAATGTAATGTGTCATTTGATTTCTTGACTGTTGCTACAATGTGCTGGTTGTGAATGCAAGCAAAATGAAGTCTTTGATATCTTTAATCTCTTCTCCACTTATTATAATGTTATTTATTGAGTGAGAATTTTTGTTTTCTTTACAAATTGAGTTGCAATCCATACTGCAGGCTGTAGTCTTTGATCTTCATCAGTAACTATTTTAAGTCCTCTTCGCTTCCAGCAAGCAAGGTTGCATCATCTGCATGTCATAGGTTGTTGAGTCTTCCTCCAATCGTGATCATATAATTCATCTTGTCGGATTATTTGCTCAGCATACAGATTGAATAAGTATGGTAAAAGGATACAACCCTGGCACACACCTTTCCTGATTTTAGACCATTCAGTATCCCCTTGTTCTGTTTGAAAAACTGCCTCTTAGTCTGTGGACAGGTTGCTCATGAACACAATTAGTTGTTCTGGAATACCCATTCTTCCCACTGTTATCCATAGTTTGTCATATTCCACATAGTCGAAAGTCTTTGCATAGTAAATAAACTGTAAGTAAATAAATATATTTCTGGTATTCTCTGCTTTCAGTCAATATCCATCTGACATCAGCAATAATATCCTTTTTTCCACGTCCTCTTCTGAACCAGCTTGAATTTCTGGCACTTTCCTATTGATGTTCTGTTGCAACAGTTTTTTTAAACTATCTTCGGCAAAATGTTACTTGCATGTGATATTAGTGACACTGTTGGATGATTTCCACATTCTGTTGGGTCACCACTCTTTGTATTGGGCACAAATATGGATCTCTTCCAATCAGTTGGCCAAGTTTTTTGGTAAAGACAGTGAGTCATAAGTTTGTTTGAAGATTTCAGTTTTTAGTCCATCAGTTCCTGGAGCCTTGCTTTTCACCAATGGCTTCAGTGCTACTTGGACATCTTTCTTTAGTACCATCGATTCTTTTTTATTTTTTTTTTTAAGTACCATCGGTTCTTGATCGTATGCTGCCTCTTGAAATTTTTGAACATTGACTATTTCTTTATTAGTACATTGACTCTGTGTTCCTTTACACCTTCTTTTGATGTTTTCTGCATCAATTAATATTTTGCCCATGTTTGTTATTTTAAGTACAATCAAGTCCGTTCCAACTCTTAATGACTCAATATAGGGTTTCTGAGGAGCAGCTGGTGGGTTTGAACTGTCAGCCTTGTGGTTTGCAGCCCAGTGCTGATCCTGCAGTGCCACACCAGGAGTCTATTTTGCCCATTTTGTTCATGTTAAGTACCATCAAGTTGTTTTCCACCCATAGTGACCCTATATAGGGTTTCTGAGGAGTGACTGGTGAACTTGAACTGCCTACCTTGCAGTTAGTTCAAACTGACCTTGCAGTCCAGCGCATTAACCCACAGCACCACATCAGAAGTGATTTTGCCCATAGATTCTTTCAATACTGCAAGTCAAGGCTTGATTTTTTTCTTCAGTTCTTTTTGCTTCAGAAATACTGAGCGTCTTCTTCCCTTTTGGTTTTCTAAACTCTAGGTCCTTGCACATTTCGTTATTATATTTTACTTTGCCTTCTCAAGCTGCCCTTTGAAATTTTCTGTTCAGTTCTTTTACTTCTTTATTTATTCCATTCGTTTTTAGCATCTCTCTGCAGGAGAATAAATTTCAGAGTTTCTTCTGGCACCCATTTTGGTCTTTTCTTTCCTTTTGCTTCTTCATATGTGATGTTCTTGATATCATCCCACAACTCTTCTGGTCTTTGGTAATTAGTATCTAATGCATTAAATCTGTTCTTGAAATAGTCTGTAAGTTCAGGTGGGATATGTTCACAGTGATAATTTGTCTTTCCTAGACTTGTTTTAGTTTTCTTCAACATCAGCCTGAACTTTCATAAGAACAATTGATGATCTGTTCCACAGATCTGGCCTTGTTTTGGCTGATGATATTGAGCTTTTCCACCCTCTCTTCACAAAGATGTAGTAAATTTGATTTCTATGTATTCTATTTGGTGAGACCCATGTTTTTGAAAAAAGTTATTTTCAATGAAAAAGTCGATGATCTTGCAAATTTCTATCTTGTGATTTCCAGCATCATTTTCATCACCAACACCATATTTTCCAACTATTGATCCTTCCTCTTTGTTTCCAGCCTTCACATTTCAATCACCAGTAATTATATGTTCGATCAATTTCAGACTGAAGAAGTTGGTACAATTCTTCAATTTCATCATCTCATCGCTGTCTTTAATGGTTGGTGCATACATTTGAATAATAGTGGTATTATCTGGTCTTCCTTATAAGCATATGGATATTATCCTGTCACAGACAGACAGCATTGTGCTTCAAGACAGATCTTGAAATGTTCTTTTTGAAGATGAATGAGTTGTCATTCCTCTTGAATTTTTCATTCCCTATATAGTAAACTGTATGATTGTGTTTTAAAATGGCCAAACCAGTCCATTTTAGCTCACTAATGCCTAGGATACCAATCCTTATGCATTGCATTTAGATTTTGACACTTCCAGTTTTCCTAGAGTGATACTTCATACATTCCATATTCCAATTATCAATGGCTGTTTGAAGCCATGTCTCATACATATTGAGTGGTGCACCATCAGGAAATGAAGATGCCAAAAACTTTACTCCAGTCACGTCATCATGGTCAACTCTACTTTGAAGTGGTATCTCATCCCCAGTCGTACTTGGAGTGTCTTCCAACCTATAGAACTCATCCTCTGGCACTATATCTGATAATGTTCTACTATTCTTCAGATGAGCTA